TGTATGTTTGTTTTTAAGCTAGGAATGTTCATGGTAGGTTAGAGAAAAGGTAGAATAAAGTATCATTTTGTAGTACCAATTTGGTAATCACACAAATAGCCCTTTAGAAAATAAAATAGTAACAAATGTTTATTGAATACTTACTGTTTGTTAAGTACCTATTGAGCACTTTACACGAATTGAGTCAATGTAATTTAATTCATACAATAATACTAAGTGGTTACATTTTTACTGTGTGTTACTTATTGTTAGTAATTTCACCTCATACGTCAGGAAACTCAGGCATGGAGAAGTCTATTAATTAGGGTTCAGTCATGGAAAAAGGAAACCACTCCAGATTTCTCAAACATAACGCCATTTAGTACCGAGAATTAGATGCTTATAAGCTTTGTAAGGGCTTGAGGAGCTACCGTCACATTTGTTTTCTTTTCTTCTTCTTTTTTTTTTTTTTGAGACAGAGTTTTGCACTTGTCGCCCAGGCTGGAGTGCAATCGCACAATCTCAGCTCACTGCAACCTCTGCCTCCCAAGTACAAGCGATTCTCCTGCCTCTGCCTCCTGAGTAGCTGGGATTACAGGTGTCCCCCACCATGCCCAGCAACTTTTACATTTGTAGTAGAGATGGGGCTTCATTATATTAGTCAGACTGCTCTCAAACTCCTGACCTCAGGTGATCCACCTACCTCCCAAAGAGCTGGAATTACAGGTGTGACCCACTGTGCCTGGCCTCACATTTTTGTGTTGCTGCCTCTATGGTCCAGGCTGCCCCAAAGGGCAGAAAAGTTCAGAAAACTACTGTTATTACAGCTGCCTTAAATGACTGAGACAGGGACTGGTGGAAAAGAGAGCCAAAGCCTAAGGAAAAAACCCACAATAACCTGTGTCTCTGCCACTTTCCAAATTTCAGGAAGTGCATCATTCCGTTGGCCAAAACATAGGTGAATGCAGAACACAGGAGGCAAGGGCACCTGGGAAATATAGTTCCTTGCCTTAGGGGATGCTGAGAAGGGTGTGGAATGAATGCTTGCTTTTGTTTTCTATTGTTGCCATAAAAAGTTACCACAGACATAATGGTTTAGAACACTACCCACTTATCTTACAGTTCTGTAAGTCAAAAGCACAGTGGACTCAGCTGGGAACTCTGCTTAGGATCTCAATAGGCTGTCAGCCAGCTGAGGCTGTGCAGAATAATCTGCTTCTAGGTTCATTCAGGTTGTACGCAGAACTACTTTCATTCTCAAGGTTTACCTGTGGTCCCTCTCATCCTTCAAGCCAGGAACCATGGGTTGAGTTCTGTCTGTGCTTTGAAAATCTGTGAATTGTCTTTCTGCTGCAACTATGTGACTTGTCTGTTGCCTTTAGGGGTTCACATGATTACATTGTACTTACCAGGAAAATCCAGGCTAAGTACTCCATCTTAAGTCAGCTGATTATAACCTTAATCATATTTGTAAAGCCCTTTTGCCATGTAAGGCAACCAACCTCTTACAACCATAAGAGGCACACTAGGAGACAAAGATCGTGGGAGTACAAATTCTGCCCACCACAATCCTCATTGGAAGAAAACTAACAAACAAGAAAGCATTCCAACACAAAAATCTAAAGAATTTGCTCAAGATCATTGATATTCTCAGCTGTATTAATTTTAATAATAATAGTTACTGACCAGGCATGGTGGCTCACGCCTGTAATCTCAGCACTTTGGGAGGCTGAGGTGGGTGAATCACGAGGTCAGGAGTTCGAGACCAGCCTGACCAGCATGGTGAAACCCCATGTCTACTAAAAATACAAAAATTAGCTGGGTGTGGTGGTGCATACCTGTAATCCCAGCTATTCAGGAGGCTGAGGCAGGAGAATGGCTTGAACCCAGGAGTCAGAGGTTGTGGTAAGCCAAGATCATAACGCTGCATTCCAACCTGGGCGACACAGCGAGACTCTGTCTCAAAAAAAAAAAAAAAATAATAATAATAGTTACTATACATTAAGTGTCTCCTATAAATCAGGAAACGTACAAGAAACTGTATCTGTTATTATTATGTTAAGCATTATTTTAAAAAGTCAAACAGCAAACTGAGAGACTTCATAGTATTTCATGTAGCACATTATGTGAATTGATTTACATAACATGGGTAGGTTCTCACTGAAGTGCCTGAGACAATTTAGAACTCGATATATCATTTATTGATGCTGTTGCGGTTATTACATTTTATTTTATTTTATTTAGTTTTGAGAGGGAATTTCACTCTTGCTGCTCAGGCTGGAGGGCAATGACATGATCCAGCTCATGGCAACCTCCGCTTCCCAGGTTCGCCATTTTAGAGATAACATCACTGTGATTCTGAAAGGTGACCTGACTTGTCCAAGACCATGTGGCTGATAAGTGACTCAGCAAGGCTTTGAATATAGGTCCAACTTCAAATGTAGAAATAGATGTTAAGTATTTACCTCCATTGTGCAGTGGAGAAAAAAAAGAAAGAAAAGAAGTAGAAGATATTTATGTAATGAACTTTATTTTTTTTAATTTTTTTGAGACAGAGTCTTGCTCTGTCACCCAGGCTGGAGTGCAGTGGCGCTTCTCAGCTCACTGCAACATCTGCCTCATGGGTTCAAGCAATTCTCCTCCTTCGGCGTCCCAATCAGGATTACAGGTGTGCACCGCCAGGTCTGGCTAATATTTGTATTTTTAGTAAAGGTGGGATTTGGCCATGTTGTTCAGACTAGTCTCAAACTCCTGACCTCAGGTGATCCAGCAGCCTCAGTGTCCCAAAGTGCTGGGATCACAGGTGTGAGCCACCACGTCTGGCCAGCAATAAACTTTATTAACATAATCTCCAGTAAATATCAATTATTACCATTTTTTAATAGACCTAGAGTCTCACTATGTTGCCCAGACTGGTCTCCAACTCCTGCACTCAAGCTTTGTGTCCATCTCAGCCTCCCAAAAATGCTAAGGTTACAGGTGTGCACCTGTTCTATTATATTACTATTACTAAAATGAAATACAAGATTCCTAGTACCTTAAACAGACATAACAAAATGCCAGGATGACAGGTGTGAGCCTGGCCTCTCATATTACTATTGTTAAAATGATGTACAAGATATCCTAGTACCTTAAATAGACAGCATTCCTAAAGGCTAGTTACTCACTGTTGACTGAATTAATTCCAAATTCCTTATCTGACTGCAACTTACTACCTCCCACTCCCTTCCACACCATCTCTCTTAGCAACCCTATAATTATTTTCAAAATCATGTTCCAGAACAACAAAAATGTGCAGATTAGGATTGTTTTACATTTTTACTAATGTATTTAACATCTGACTTCATATAGTAAGTCTCTCTCTCTCTCTCTCTCTCTCTCTCTCTCTCTCTCTCTCTCCCCACCCCCCCTTGACAGTACCTTACTCTTATCACCCAGACTTGAATTCGGTGGTGCCATCACAGCTCACTGCAGCCCCTAATTCCTGAGCTTAAGTGATCCTCCCATTCTCTCAGGCTCTCGTGTAGCTAGGACAGTCATACATTACCTCATGCAGCTAACTTTATTTTTATTTTTGTAGAGAAGTGGGGGGGGTCTCACTTGGTTGCCCATGTTGGTAGATTCTCATATCTGCTTCTGTTTTCAATCTGTAGCAATATCACATGTCAGTTTTCCAGAGGCTTCTAGAAAATTCCATGGAACTCTCGTCACTCAGAATTTTAAAAGCATTCATTTTTCTTGTAGCTGGGAGTGACAAGGCAGGCAGCTCTACCCTCATGACAAGTGTGGTGACTCACGCCTGTACTCCCAGCACTTTGGGAGGCCAAGGCAGGTGGATCACCTGAGGTCGAGAGTTCAAGACCAGCCTGACCAATATGGAGAAACCCCGTCTTTACTAAAAATATGAAAAACAAAACAAAAAAACAGCTGGGTGTGGTTACACATTCGTATAATCCCAGCTACTGGGGAGATTGAGGCAAGAGAAGTGATTAAACCCGGGAGGTGGAGGTTGCAGTGAGCTGAGATCTTGCCATTGCACTTCAGCCTGGGCAGCAAGAGTGAAACTCTGTCTCAAAATAAAACAAAGTAAAAGAGGGTGTTATCAACATAATCCACAGTTATATTTCCTACACTTTCCTCACAGCAGGCAAGGACCACCTGCTGAGTGAGTTCATGGCATCCAAGCGGGTGGACACCTGAGGCATGGGGCCTCATGAAATCTGAAGCTGCTGAGGCTGGCAGGTTCCTGGAACAATTTAGTGAACTCAGGACTGTGGTGTGTCTGGGCCTGGTGGATGATGCCTGTAATCCCAGCACTTTGTTAGTCCAAGTCCGGTGAATCACCTGAGGTCAGGAGTTCAAGACTAGACTGGCCAACAGAGAAACCTCGTGTCTACTAAGAATATTAGCTGTGTGTGATGGCGGGTACGTGTAGTCCCAGCTACTTGGGAGGCTGAGGCAGGAGAATCCCTTCAGCCCAGGAGGGGGAGGTTGCAGTGAGCAGAGAACACGGCACTGCACTCCAGCCTGGGCAACAACAGCGAAACTCGGTCTCAAAAAAAAGAAGAACTACAAGGCCCCTGAGTTGCGAATTTAAGGAGTCATCAAAAAAAAAGTAAATGAGATAAATATTTTCAAACACTATTGAAAAAAATCAAATCGGAAACTTCTAATGGGGGTGAGGGGTTGTTTTTGTAAATAAGGTTTCATCGGTAGTAAGTTTCGAAAGTCCTAAATCTTCACGCTGTCACTCAAAAGAAAGACCCAGCTCAGGCGCCAGCATCTGCTGCACGGCGGGAAAGCCCCGGTGGCTGACGGGAAGAAGCGCACAGGGAGGCGAACCTCAGGCGCCCCTCAGCCGACTTCTATTTCCTCTCGCGGTTCTTCGCTCCGCCCACTTAGCTGGCTGTGCCTGATTGGCTGGACTGCCGCACATTCGCGCTGCCATTGGTCCAGAGTCAGTCGGGGGTGGGCGTAGGAAGACCTACTCCGGCAGGTCCCGGCTGGACCACCATTGTTGGCGGCGGCTGCGGTTGAAAATGGTTGTGGGGTTCGCGGCGGTTGGCGCGGCGCTGCTGTAGGTACGTTGGCACCGGGCGAGTGTCCTGCAGGAGAGGCAGTTGGCGGGGCGGCGGTCCTGGTCGCCTGAGGGCCGGCCCCGGAGGCCTCGGAGCGCCGGGCAGGCCAGGGGTTTGCGACTAGGCTATGCTGCCTGAGAAGCGCCGGCGGGGCGGCCTGACCGGGCGGGAGGAGGCCGGTGAGAAGCGGGTGGCCGCTTGTGCGCGGTTTTCGGAGCAGGGCGCTGCTGAAGCGGAGAGGCTTGCGGCCCCGGGCCGTGGCGGGACTAGGGGTGCGGGGCGGGACTCCACTGCGGAGGAAATTGGTCTCGGTGGTTTTTGTCCTGAGGAGTAAGTAAAAGCTCGCTCTTGTCGAGAATGCTTTTAGCAGTTAACAGATGAATGTCTCCACCTCTAACGTTAGAGTTCTATTGCCAGATGTTCTTGAGTCTTTTTAATCATCTAATGAAGCCAGGTGCCAGCCTGCAACCGGATCCCGCCAGGCAGCCTTGAAATTTGTTACGAAGTGGGGACCGGAGCATCAGGAAAAAAAAAAACAAAATTCTGAGTACAGTGCTGAAATCCCATACCTCTGTTGAGCTTGCCGGTGAAGGGATACTAGGATTTAATGATGAGGACTTCCTTAAGGTAGAAGTCCGTTTTTATCATTTTAAGAGAATTTCATCTTATCCTCGTTCGCTAACCAACTTCCTCCAAGTTTGGCCAGCAAGTTTAAGAGAGGAAGTAATAATTATTTTTGCTTCGTTTCTGTTAAAACCCTGCCGCACTTAAGGAAACGGACTTCTCCCTTTCCATGTTCCTGTGTTGAAAATGAAGTTTTTAACCACGTGTTGCTTGCTTTATGACATAATGGCTTTTTCTGCTATGAAGACTTGTATATGGTTTAATATGTATAGAAAAAGACAGCTGTACCGAATAGTCCGCATTAGAAAAGTGATGTCATATTAACTTAGATTGTTATTCTAGACTGCGACTTAATACTATTATGATTTTGTCATATTTACCTATAGCCAGTAAATGACCTGCGACATAACTATTTGCAAAACAGATGGGGAAGACCAAGATAAAGATAAGTTATATCACAGGCAAGCAATTGAAAATGCAAAAATGAAACGTCTGAATGAAGGACTAATAACACTGAATTCACCTTTTGTGAAGTACACCTTTCTTCTTAGCTTGTTTATTCTGCAGTACGTTTGTAGAAGTGTTGACTCCGACCTTAATCAAATTTACTTCACTCTCAGTCTTATCTGCAGATATGTACAGACCACATCTTAAGATTGACTTCTGCTTCGACAGAAATAAATGAGCCAGTGCCTTATTGGAAATGATTTGCATGTTTTAAGAACTGGTGTACATAGGTACATCTTAAATGTTCTGCTTTCCTTGCCTTATGCAGGTACTTCACCTCAGCCTTCAGTTGCATTGTGTTTCCTTGCTACTTAATATCTTGAAATCTGGTATGAAACTGTTGCATGATCCCTGCATCGTTGCTTGTGCATATATCTTAGTTCTCTTATAGTGAGTGTGCACAGATCTATTTCATTTGATGTAATCAAAGTTTAAATAATATATTTGATAGTTAATAATAAAATAAATCTTTAAGTGCACAAGAGTAATAGTTGTCATTGCTGAGTGAGATAATACAAAATACCAAGAATCGTATTCTCTCATTCTATGTCATAGTCTTACTTATTTTATTTCCCCCCTACCCACCACAGACACTGTGGTGACTTACCTATCTTATTTATTTTGTTTTATTTATTTATTTATTTATTTATTTATTTTGAGGCAGAGTTTTGCTCTTTCACTCAGGCTGGAGTGAAGTGGCCTGATCTCAGCTCACTGCAACCTCCACCATCTGAGTTGAAGCGATTCTCCTGCCTCAGCCTCCCAAGTAGCTGGTATTATAGGTACCTGACTAATGTTTGCATTTTTAGTAGAGACAGGGTTTCACCATGTTGGCCAGACTGGTCTTAAATTCCTGACCTCAGTTGATCGGCCCAGGTCGGCTTCCCAAAGTGCTAGGATAATAGGTAGAGCCACTGCAGCTGGGCTATCTCATATTCTTATATAATTTAGATACTTATTCTGCATTGCAGTAGACTAGAATAGCTTTTCATTTTTACCAATCTGGGTGGGACAGATTGGAGTCCCCCAGTATCTGCAGAGAAATAACTTTTTGGAGGAAAGGGAGATAATATATTGGATTTTTTTTGAACTCCTGATTAAGTTTGTAGGACTATAATGAAATGTTTAGAGAGGTCTTACTAAAGTTAGCCATTAATTAGAGGAACTACGTGTATCTACTAAATGTGGTGATTTCCATTGGTATACCTCTGAGGCCTAGTGTGTACAATATGCTGTTGTGAAATAGCTTATCAGATAGCCATGGCAAAAGTTGCCTAGGCCTTTTTAGTACTCTTTATTAAGGAGACTGATTTTGGGAGGCTTTTCAGTACTTGTTATTGAGGAGAGAATAACTTTGGGTGGCTTTCCAGAGCTTCATTTTTTAAAGTAAATATTCATTAAACACCATTTATTAAAACTAATATAAAAAAGGCATCTCACTGAGGATATAAAAATTATTTATAGTGGGAAATTTAGATAAGGAAGTAATAGTTCTTTCTGGTATGTTTTTTTGAAGAGGTGATCTTTAAACTTGAAAGAGTAGACTAGGGAAAGATTGATAGATGACAATTCTGGTGAGTTTCAAAAGTGAAGGTTAGGTTTATAAGAAGATTCAGTTGTTAGCTCCAGTTAAAGACAAAATACTGTGGAAAAAAAGATAATGCAATTGTGGTAGTCTATCTGGCTATACAGAGAATATTTACCCAAATTTAACTGAAAATGCGATGAGCCAGAAAAGATATATGAACTACAGAACTGGATCTATGAATGATAGGAAGGCAGACCAGAATACTTTTCGCCTCCTCCCCTTCTTCCCATGTGCAGAAGAACTGGCTGTAGGAAATCTAGCTAATTACATGAACTTCTTTATAACTTGGAGGGAAACTCTTGGAGCTGTAAGTGCTCCCTGTACAATGGTTACCATCCCCTACCATCCAATTAAAATGTTTCCTCCCCACTTCCAAAAAAGTTCATATTTGAGCTAAATCTTCATCAGCAGTTATAGAAAATGGATATGGCTAAAATTTGTAACTCAAGAAATAGAGTGAAAATATTTTAAAGTGCTGAGATTTTAAAAACAAGTTGTTAAAGTGATGGCCACTAGATATTAAGGAGTACTTGCAAGCAACTGCTTTATTTCATAATGAGCATTTTATACTATTGATAAAACCTGAAAACAGTAATGTCAGAATTCTAGCATTCAGGTGATGTGGATGCTGCTGATCTATGAACCACACTTGGCATTACTTATGAGACCGGTAGTCCTAGCTACTCTGGAGAATGAGATGGGAGAATTGCTCAGCCCAAGAGTTGAAGGTTACAGTGAGCTATGATCACACCCTGGGCTACAGAGATATACACTGTCTCAAAAAAAAAAAAAAAAAAAAAAAAAAGAAAAGAAAAGAAAATGGTGGGCTGGGCATGGTGGCTCAAGCATTTTGGGAGGCCAAGTAAGTTGGATTGTTGGAACGCAGAAGTTCAAGACCAGCTTGGGCAAGATAGTGAGCCTCATCGCTTTAAAAGGAAAAAAAAAAGAATATGGCAGAAAATTATGAAATGGAAAACTGTATAATAGCAAGTTAGCAAACTTAAAATTCTTTGACAGTCTTTTGTCATTTTTGTTTACTTTGGCAATCTTGATACATGTTTAATAAAAACGATCAAGAAAAAGAAACATATCACTGATATCAAGAATGAGGCTGGGTGCAGTGGCTCATGCCTGTAATTCCAGCACTTTGGGAGGCCAAGGCAGGAGGATCATCTGAGCTCAGGGGTTCAAGACTAGCCTGGCCAATGTGGTGAAACCTCATCTCTACTAATATCAAAAAAATTAGCCAGGCATGGTGGCACATGCCTGTAATCCCACCTACTGGAGAGGCTGAGGCGGGAGAATTGCTTGAATCCTGGAGGCAGAGGTTGTAGTGAGCTGAGATCCTGCCACTACCCTTTAGCCTGGGCAACAGAGCAAGACTCTGTCTTTAAAAAAAGAAGAAAGAGGTATTCTCATAGAGAATACTATGAGAATTTTGTGTTGCTAAATTTGAAATTGTGCTGAAATGGAAAAATAGGTAAAATTGACACCAAAAGATACAAAAAGTGTGCATGGTTGTTGTATTTTCTGTATCTTCTTCTTTTTTTTTTTCTTTTTTTTGAGACAGAGTTTCACTCTTTTGCCCAGGCTGGAGTGCAGTGTTACAATCATACTTCACTGCAACCTCCGCCTCCCTCCTCCCCCAGGGTTCAAGTGATTTTCCTGCCTCAGTATCCCAAGTAGCTGAGATTACAGGCACCCGCTACCATACATGACTAATTTTTGTGCTTTACTTTAGTGGAGATGGGGTTTCGCCATGTTGATCAGGCAGGCTGGTCTTGAACTCGTGACCTCAGGTGATTCACCCGCCTTGGTCTCTCAAAGTGCTGGGATTACAGGCGTGTGCCACTGTGCCCAGCCTTTTTTTTGTTTTTGTTTTTGTTTTTTAAACTGGAGATTATGCCTCACTGTTGCCTAGGATAGTTTGGAAGTCCTGGGCTGTTTGAGCCCTGGCTTCCCAGAGTGCTGGGATTACAGGTGTGAGCCACTGCTCCCAGCTGGTTCTACATCAATTTTAATTAAAAACCTTTACCACTAGGTTAACTCCAGGCCCAGGTGGCATTAGTGGTGAATTATTCTAATATTTAAGAAAAAATAACACCATTCACACACAAACTGTTCAGAGACTAGAAAGACTTTGTAGTTTGTATGAGGCCCGCAAAAGTTTGATATCAAAACCTGATAAAAGTAGACCCATTTCTCATTAACATTGATATAAAAATTGTAAACATAATGTTAGCCATGTATAGGCCAGGCACAGGCCTGTAAAATTGCCTAATCT